GGCGATCATCCCTCCTCAGCCTTCCAAGTAGCTGGAATGACAAACGCATGCCACCACGCCCAGCTAGTTTTTGTGGTTAATTGTAGAGATGAAGTCTCGCCAAGTTGTCCAGGCTGGTCTCGAACCCCCAGGCTCAGGCAATCCTCTCGCCTTGGCCTCCCAAAGTGCTGGGACTACAGGCTGAGCCACCAAGCCCAGCCTCTACATAGTTTTCTACTGCTTTTTTCATTCAGCCATATGCTTTTGAAACAGTCATATTGATTCATGTAGTTATTTTTCATTCATTTTAACTTCTATATAGTGTTCAGTTGTGTGACCTAAGAGTTAAATTAGCCATTCTGTGTCAACAGACACAACTTTTTGCTCTTACAGCACTAGTGCGGTGAATGCGCTTGCACATCTCTCAGTAGGATTTTGTAAAAATTTCTCTGCAGAGTTTCCACAATACACCAAGATATCTTCTCGGTCCTTGGGGTGGCCACATGGGGTCCTGGGGTCAGTAGATTCCCTGTGCTAGTGTCCTTTGGCCGTGAACGGTTTTATCCTTTTCCCCCAGTGCTACAGAAAAAGAAGTCATTATTTCCATGTGGGATTCCTGAATTAAGAATGCACATCTGAGGACTGGATTTAAAAAATGTGCTACATATACACGATGGAATACTACACCGTCATAAAAAAGAACAAAATCATGAATTTCGCAGCACTCTGGATGAAACTAGAGTCTATAATACTAAGTGATCTCTCAAAGAAACAAAGATCTGAGTATCACATGTTCTCACTCATATGGTGGACCTTGTACATCTATCATAATACTATAGGAGAAGGATTGACAGTGGTGGGAAACTATGGGGGGGAGGGAGGGGAAGGGAGGTGGGATTAACGGTAGTCAATATCTGTCTGGGGACAGGGAGACACCCTTATCAACAAGGGTGCCTGAATGATGCATATTTGTATACCTAGCCCTTAACTATACCCCACAATTTTAAAATTAAAAAATGTTTTTTTTAAAAAAAGAATGCACATCTTTAGATTTAATAGCTATTGTCAAATTGCTCTCCATAGTAGTTGGGCCGTGCACATGCCCATTGTTCATGTAGAGTTCCTTAACAGAACAATGACCTATAGTGATGGTTAAGAACTTGGGCTTCAGTGATGAACTGAGTTCAAGCCTAACTCCACCTCCGAGCTGTGTGATCTTGGGTTGGGTGGGTTTCTTACACTTTGCTGTAGTTGTCTCATGTGATGAAGAGAAATAATAGTCTGGAGAATATTATAGAGATGTTTTAAGAATTAAATCAGTTTATACAACAAACCTCTTTGAACACTGCATGGCCCTACTATAGACCATTTTGAAAGCACTGTTGTCTACTTTGGTCTTGTCACTTAAAATTGTATTTTTGACCATCAGATGGGCATGAAGTGGATTTTAATATGGTTTTAATTTGCATTTCCTTTTTACTAGTGCTGTTGAGCCTCTTTCCATATGTTTATTGACACTTCATTTCCATCTCCTATTGGATTGTTTCTCTAATGAACTGTAGGCATTCTCTATGTATCCTCTCTAAATATCCTGAATAGAAATCATTTGTTAGTTATATGCAAGGGGGAGATTTTCTGCAAGCCCAGGGCATGATTTTTAACTTTATTTATGGTATCTATTAAGCCACAGAAATAAGTTTAATGTAGTTTAACTTATCTAACTTTAATATATTGTGCATTTTATTTATTAAGTCATCCCCTAAATCAAGATCATAAAGACATTTTCTAATATTTTCTTTAAAAAAGTTTTCAAGTATTGTTGTTTATATTTGGGTCTTTACTGGGAATTTATTTGGGTTGTAAGGTAAGGCTGCCCTTCTGTCTTTCCATCTGAGCATTAGTCTTCTGGTAGGAATTGCATGCCTTTTTCTGTAAGAAGACAGACAGTAAATATCCCAGCCTTGATGGATCGTAAACTCTCTGTGCCAACTACACAGCCACTTAACCTCGCTGGCTCAGTCTCTCCAAATGAACATTAGGAATAATCAAAGCACCTGTTTCATGGGAATGTGGTAAGCATTAAATAGTCGATTAAATAGGCAGTAAGTAAACAGAGTTTACTTCCAACAAAACTTTATTTACAAAAACAGGTGGCTGGTTAAGTTGGGCCCATGGACTGCAGTTTGCTAACTCCTGCTCTAGACAGATCTCTCGTCTTTCTTTCAGTTCAGACATTATGGAAGAAATTAGTAATTGATGTGTCTATAGCCATATATAAATGTATATGAGTATATAATATATACAAATGTAATATAAACTTAATCATTATATTTCTTGCTAATCCCAGAGAAAGTAACTACCCTCATTCTCTTTAAAGCTATTGTTTCCTTCTGTATACATTACTCATTCAATCAGCAAATTTTTTATTGAACCTCCATATACTTCAGTAATATATTTTACTGCATAACTTGTTCCATGTATAGACAGCCCAAATTGTTTTTCTTTTTTTAAAGTTGTCTTTGGGTGTTTTTTGTTTAACCTAACACTCTACCCTCTGAAGCAACGTATTAGAAACCTGCTGTCTCCTGACTTGATGGCCTTCGCCCTAAGTTTACTTCTTCCACACTGTCTGCCCAGGACAAACAGTTCTTGTTCTCATGATAGTCTCTTATGACATTGTTTCCAGCTGATTCTTGCTCCATCAGTCAGATATTGAATGTCTACTTTTTAACTTAGTCACTTTGCTAGGCACTGAAGACACAGAAGTGAGCCAGTTCTTCTGAAAACAGGGCGCTCAAAACAGAGCGCACTGCCCAGAAATGGCCTGACCCTCTGGAGGAACCTGACATCATGTGGCCTACTTACCTTTCCCTCCCCACCCAAACCAAGGCTTTTATTAATTATTAATGCTCCCAAAATAAGTTTGCCAGATATCAGGCCCTGTTGTGTTTGTTTTCTTCAAATAAGGATACATAGGCTCAGAGTGGTGAGAAACTTGCTCAAAGGCAGAACTAAGAATCAAATTCAGATTTTATAACTCCCAAGTCCAGGGTTCTTCCTAATATTCCATGCTTCCTCCACACCCAAGACAGATTGTCCTAATCAAACTGTACATGATTCCAAAACAGTGTTTGCCAGTGAGACACTAAGGAAGCATCACCACATGCAAAGGACACTGGGGCTTACAGCACAGCCTCTCTCTGGCAGAAGCCCAAAGGCATTTCCCTCCTGTGGAATAAGTGCGTGTCTCCCTATGTTTAGACAAGCTACGCTTCTCCCAGGTAAAGGTGTCCGAGCTGAAATGATAACACACAGCAATTTGGATTCCCCAGGCAAATGCCTCCCTCACGACCTACTTGCTAGCAACGTGAGAGATAACAGCCTCTTGGCCTAGACCTGGGGTCTTGGGTGGGCTTCCCAATGCCTGAGGGGCCACAGGCAATAATAAGAGTGATACTATTAAACTCAACTAATAGCAGATATTAGTGAAAGTTTACTGTGCGCCAGACACATAGAATTACTTAGTCTATTATTTAATCCTTACACCATTCTTACGAGATAGAATTATTATCTCTAATTCATAATTTGGAGAAATAGAGTCAGAGAGGTTGTATAACTTCCCTGCAGTCAGCTAGTAGGTGATAGAGAAGTGCTTTAAATCCCTGCTGTATGGGCCAACTTGTCCAAAACTGGTGAACATTAACCTCTCTAATGCCAAATTTCTTTTACTGCTTTAGGGATTCGAAAATTAGAAAATTTCCTACTCTAGATGGATCAAAGCATAGCTATCTGCTCCAGAAATTCAAAAGTCTTCATATTTCTGATATTCTAGAAGATTTGAATAGTCCTTTAAAACATTTCAATTCTATTTATCCATCTGTCTATATCTATATAGACAAGTCACCCCAATAACAATAGTTATTCTTACCATTATACTGAAACTTTCCTTGATAAGCCACAAATGGCCAATTTCTCATTTTTCTTTCATTGTATATACCTGCAATAGAAGACTGTGAAATAATTCCTTATTTTAATTTTTTTTTTTTTGCATTGGAGTCTCACTCCATTGCCCAGGCTGGAGTGCAGTGGCACGCTCACAGCCACCCCAGTGTTGACCTGCTGGGCTCCGGCAATCCTTCCACATCAGCCTTCCAAGTACCGGAACTACAGGTGCACACTACCACGCCTGGCTAATTTTTTTTTTTAATTGTAAAGACAGTTGCTCAGGCTGGTCTTGAACCTGTGGGCTTAGGCTATCCACTCACCTTGGCCTCCCAAAGTGCTGGGATTACAGGCTAAGCCACCGAACCTGGCCTATTTTAATTTTTATGTCCTTGTTCATACATTTTCTTCCTTCTTCACAGGTTTTTTTTTTTTGTTTGTGGAACTTATTTGTTTATTTGTTGTGAGTAAGTGTTTCACTCTGTCACCCAGGCTAGAATGCAGTGGCTGGATCACGGCTCACTGCAGCCTCAACCTTCTAGTTTCAGGTAATCCTTCCACATCAGCTTCCTGAGTAGCTGGGACCACAGGTGTGTGTCACCACACCCAGCTAATTTTTGTTGTTGTTTTTTGTAGAGACATGATCTCACTATGTCACCCAGGTTGGTCTTGAACTTCTGGGCTCAAGCAGTCCTCTCTCCTTAACCTCCCAATGTGCTGGAATTACAGGCGTGAGCCTCACAAGTTTATCACATAGAAAAAGTTGAAACGTAACAGTGGTTTGGAAACTGTACAATGCTATTAAAATACAAGAATTACCGTGGTTATTGGAAAGCTGGATGAAAAGGAGACAATCTGTGAAAAGTCAAAGAAAAAGTGTAATAACTACAAACATGCATGCTATTTTTTTCTTGTGAAATGAAAATCTTCCTCAATTAACTATTTCCTTTTTTTCAAGCACAGTTCTTGACTTGGATATATACTGTCCCTTCCAGAAGTCAGGGGTGGGTTTAGGTTTGTGGCCATAATGGGCTGGGAGTGTGCAGGCCGCAGGAGTAACCTCTCACGCTCTCGTCTAGGTGTTCACCCTGCTGTGGATTGCTGACTGGATGGTGCATCACTTCTGGAGGAAGGGAAAAGACCCGGACAGCTTCTCCATCCCCTACCTCACAGCCCTGGGTGACCTTCTTGGCACAGCTCTGTTAGCCTTAAGTTTTCATTTTCTTTGGCTGATTGGAGATCGAGATGGCGATGTTGGAGACTAATAAATCCTACAAAGCGCTCTCAAGCTACCAAGGAGAAAAACAAGACAACCACTTAACGGCTCTTTGAAAAACTCTTAAATCAGTAGTGTGACTTTTGCCAGGGTAATCTTCAGTTGGCTCTGATTCAGTTAAATGGCCTTAACAGTTTTTTAAGGAATTTGTGTTGAAACCAGAATGAACAGTATTTGTGCTGCTTTTTGTAGAATAAATGACAATTTAACATAGTCATAGACATAAGCTCAAGCTCTGAAATTAATAGGAAAGAAAATAGGATGTTTACAATGAATAATTTTGAAACCACAAACATAGCAGAAATGTACTTTATTATTGCTTAACTTGTAGTACAAGAGGAAAGGAAACAGATCTCTGGTTAGCCTTTCTTGTCTCACAGATGTGCTATATCCCAAGGAATACTACAACATGAAAGGTGCCCAACCAAATTTTCCATAGTTTTAACAGTGCCACCGCCATGCTAGCTGAGGATAAATTTACCAACTGCTCGTGCCTAAACCTACCTGAATACATTTTTGCTGAGCATAAGGTAAACTCACTTTTACCTCCCCCTAAAATTACTCTGTGCCAATACTAATTTGATTTCAACTCTGCAAGCTCTTGGCAGACTAACCTCTAAACAGAGTGATCTTGAGAGATATTAATAAAACCAATGCATTATTTTTTGATCATTGACTTGTTGAAAAAATGTTGATCTATTTTAGAAAACTTTTAGTAAAAAACAGTAGATAACCTGAGCTATAGCAACAAGATGGTGTGATAAATTGTGTGTGTGTGTGTGTGTGTGTGTGTGTGTGTGTGTGAGAGAGAGAGAGAGAGAGAGAGAGAGAGAGAGAGAGAGAGAGAGTAGTTTGATAGAGCACTAAATCTTGGATTGCTGTTAGCAAAGAACATAATGCTATTGGAATATCAGTATTATAGAGTTATTCTTAAACACATTTTACTGATATGCTTTGTCATCTGGTCCAAAAATGTTGCTACTGACCAGAATTTAGTATGTGAGACCTACATTATATTTAATTGCTTCTTATTTTTCAAAATGTCATTCAATTAATATAATCAAGACATATAATTTAAAATGAGCAAGTGGTCCATTTGCTCTTTTAAAGAAGTCCATCACTCACCCTTTAAAAAAAGAAGTTGATGGTTATCTCAATGAGTGTCCATGCCTAAACATATCATCTATTCATACAGCCTTATTTCCACAAGGGACCCTGTCATATAACCTCGATATTTCTCAAATATTTTTCTAAAACTCTGGCCTATATTCTAAATACTTGACCAACACCTAAGTTATTCAATAGGTAAGCATTTTTATATCACATGTAGTTTATTTTTTAAAATGCAGTATAATCTCTCAAGACTGTTAGATATTTAGTCATTTAAGCTGATAAGAGAATCAAAAATGCACATTAACTTTGATCATCATGGTTTAAGTTGTAAGTTAGTGTTATTATATAAATTGTAGGTTTATAAATATATTGGGGGGAGTATTCTTGGTAAGCTCTTTTAACTGAGGGACTGTGGTTTAGAATTATATATTTTTGCTTATTTTTAAACATTAATTACTCCATTCTTCTGCCTTATAATGAAATTTTAAGGCAAAACACTGAACTGATTATAGAATTTCTCCTTTGGAGAGTTATAATGTCACATAGTCAACATTCTTGTAAAAGAAAGAATGATTAAGTTTAAGTTGATGAATATTTAGCTGCAAAGATTTTTTATTTAAAAAAAATCCATGAATAATATTTTTTATTTTATTGTAAAGCATTTGTAAATTACTTATTTATATTTGTGCTGTATGATTCATAAGTATTTACATTTCCCAATGATTTCTGTTTTGATTTTTTAACATGTCAAAAATATAGAGCAAGCTACATTTTTAAAGCATTAACCAACAACTTTAGTCTGTTATATTACATATTCCAAAGCATATTCAAATACATTATATCATTTAGTACCTGTGAAATAGGTCGGACGGATATTCCTGTCTTTATTTTACAGCAGAGGAAACTGAAACTCAGAGAAGCCCCATTTTTAGTTTGCCCAGTTGCAAAATGACCAAACGGTGAAATCCCTAATGTCTAGGTTTTTGATAGGCCAATATTCTTTCTATATCTTTGATTTCAAAGAAACCTTCATTTAGTGTATCTTTACGCGAGTGTAGCCAACTCTGAATTGTTCATGTTCCCAAGACCAAGGAGAATATGAGTGAACGAAATTTTTGAAATAAAGAACAAGTTCATAGACTTGCCCACACAATTCCCAGATCTAGCCACTTGTCATAAGTGCTAATAAATACCTGGGATGACCAATTTCAGTTCTGTCTCCTTTCTCTTTTGGTACACAACAAAAGCATTTTTAGAGCAAGAAAATGTCTAAAAAGCATGTAATAGGGAAAAAAAAAGGAAACATCAGTCACTGATTAACTGAATTAATAAAAGAGATACAGATTCCTTTAAATCAGGGCTCTCCAGCTCCCAGGCCGCATACCAGTACCGCTCTGTACAGATCTGTGGCCTGTTAGGAACCAGAACCAGACCTCACAGCAGGAGGTGAGCTGCAGGCGAGTGGAGCTCCACACTCTGTCAGATCAGTGTCGGTAATTAGATTCTCATAGGAGGCGACCACTATTGTGAACTGCGCATACGAGGGATCTAGGTTGCTGCTCCTTTTGAGACTAATAAATAACCACCCTCTCCCTCCTCCCCCCACCATCCATGGAAAAAGTATCTTCCACGAAACTGATCTCGATGCCAGAAGGTTGGGAATGCTGCTTTAAATTATCACTGATCTTTTGAAAGCCTTCACATAAGTACACACCGATAAGGTAACTTATTTACACACAAGACCATTTAGTATCAGTCTTATGTAATGTAAATTTACAGCATTTATTTTATATAGCATAAAACTCCTGCTTTTCAAACTTCTTCCTTTTACTAATTTATCAGACACCCTTTATTTATACACTGATAACCTTTTTTAAAACATGTTTCATTCTTGCCCATCGATTATTTTTTTTCTTTCAAAAATTAAGTTTCTTAGAATCTGATAAAATGGAAACTTATGGTAATGTATCTTTTGGGAGACATAAAAAATTCTACTCCATAGCCTATCAGTGATGCAGCCAAATGAAGTACATTTTTAAAAGTCTTTCAGTAATTGGGTTTCCTTGCCTTATGATATATCTGTGGTATCATGTACCCATTTGTAATGGGGTTCTACCATCTTTGACTTGTTGTAAACTTATATAAAATAAATTTAAGAAATATTTATTCAGTTGTGTTGTGCTTCTTGGTGGACCAAAGAACATCAGGCCTGTGTGGAAATCCCCCACAAGAGACTGGCATAATTTGCGTATGGAGGTTGTATTTATGAAGTATAATAAATTGGGCTTTAACCACTGTTTTCCCACTCTTTGTTAAGCTCAGATTGTTTGGCTCATCTGACCATTTACCATTCACCTGGGCTTGCCCCCTGCATACAGGCAGGACGAAACACCAACTCTGGTTAACTATGGCTCTCTGTCTACCTTTGCCTGGGCTTGAGCTGCTAAATATGGCTCATGAGAAACACACACCGCTCTGACAGATTTTTAAGTTTATAACCTCAGACATCAAGTGAACCCTCAACTGCCCAGCAGCCTACGAATGACTTATTCTAATGACTTTGCTTCCTGAGAGATCAGGCCTGGGTCCCCGCAGCTTCCCTGAAAGTCAACCTGTTGCCAACCGAAATAACAAACAGAAGCTTTCTAAAAGAAAATGAGATTCACTCAGAAGAGGGCGTTGCAATGGGAATACATGTGCCAAGGTCAACTATGTGCATATTCAGGGAGGTAAAGGAAGACAAAGGTTTGTAAAGAAGACATGAGGATTACATAATTGTTTTAAGATAATTATCCCTGGCTACAAGGTTCCCTAACAAGGGCGACGCCAGACCAAGGCTGGACAGGCATTTTCTGGGCAGATGTCCTCACAGAAGGTTGTAGAAGGTCGCAGTGGCCTTTGTGCAAGGTTATGTTTTCGTGGTCTTTTGTGATAGTTTTTTATCAGGCATTTATGTCATCTGTACGCAAGAACCTTCTTTTCGTGGCCTTTTCTGTCTTTGTCAGGGTTTTGTTAACACAATGGACTCCATTTTGGTTCTGACAACTTTCACATTCCCCCCTTTGGATCAAGATCTTTTTCCAAAAGCTTCACTGATCAGTCATCCTGTGTTAGGTTTGAAGTGTCTCTCGGTACCAGGATGGGCCTGCCTGGGTTGTCGGGCTGGTCCATGCTGGAGGACGTGAATAGCTCCTAGGAGTCAGTGTCAAAATCCCTTTCACCGTATTTGTGCAACAGGGGATATTTGAAGGGAGTGGCTCTCAGGCTTAGCCTACCTGGAGTCCATTGTTAAGTTCAATTTTTCTGTTCTATAACCTTTTGCTGTTATCTCAAACTGCTGGGCCAGCATTCTTCTGTTAGGAGTTATACTTCTGCAAAAATTTAAGTTATAGGTAAAAGTTTTAAAAGGAAAATACAAAATAAAATTAATAGTAATATGATAATCTCAGTTTGCAGAATGGTTTTGAGCCACGAATTTAGGCTTGCAACCAATTGAATAAATCAGGTGACTACAGGGAATTAGGTTAGACCTGTTACAGCCGTGTGGCCTGTTTTCTTATTTTGTGTATATGGGTCTCAACTTTCCCGGAGGAATTTATTCAGGTACATCTGTAGCATGAGCAATGACACAGAAATATTCTCATTTAACCATTAGAGAACATAGAACAGTTTTCATCACTGTGTATCCCATGGCTGGGTCGAATTAAAGCAGGGAGTGAGCAGCAGTTGCCTTGGAGATGTTGCCAGAGCCACCCACGAAGTGGACCGAAGGGTCCTTTAGGTCAGGTTCTGTCACGTTCCCAGTAGAAGCCACTGATTGCGAAGTGTCAATGACACCCACTATTCTGGCAAGTGCAAAAGGTAGCGTTAAGGAGGGCAAGAGCCTCGTGGAGTCTCATTCTGATGTGTTGGGGGGAAACTGTCTATGGCATGAAAATGTCCACTTCCTGTCCTGGTTTGCAGTTTAAGTGTCCTTAGTTATGCCATGGGGCAATTTGGTGGACTTTTTGTGTGCCTCATGTACGAGGCACAAGACTTGTTCTTTAAAACTCATCATTTCAAGCCGGGCTCAGTGGCTCAACCTGTCATCCCGCGCTTTGGGAGGCCGAGGTGAGTGAATTGCCTGAGCCCGTGGGTTCGAGATCCGCCTGGGCAACTTGGCGAGACCTCATCTCTACAATAAATCAAAAAAAGTTAGCCGGGCATGGTAGCGTGCACCTGTAGTTCTGGGTACTTGGAAGGCTGAGGTGGATGGATCGCCGGAGCCCAGCAGGCCGAGGCTGCAATGGCCGGGAGCATGTCACTGCTCTCCAGTCTGGGCAACAGAGTAAGACTCCAACTCAAAAAACAAACAAAAAAAATCATTTTAGCTTATAGGGATTTAGGAATAGAGCAGTTCCTGTTTTTAGTCATTCCATGGAAGAAAGTTGGATTGAAGAAATAAAAATAATTCAGGATCTAGTGTAGTCTATAGTTAGATATTAAGAGTTAGAAAACAATGCACAGAGTTACAATCCAACAACAGGTGTGTTATAGCTTTT